TTTTTACTTTTGATTTTATTTTGAAAATTTTCTTTATTATTATTTTTATTGAACTTCGTTATGGTGATAGCAAGTGATTTATAGTTTAATGAAAGTTTCAAATGAAGTGATGAAAAATATACATTTCATGGGGTTTGAGCAAGGCATGCAAAGGAGAATATTGTAAGCGACGCTAAAAATCTTGACTAGACCTTTTTGTGGCAACTTGACCAAGCAGAGCATTCCCACGTTTGTTATTGGAGATACCTTCTGAAATGGGTTGATATGTCTGTTGGATCTATTTTGTCCATTGTATTTTTAAACCAAATTTCATCTAGTCTCAAGCTCACTAATGTGTGATAGAGAGAATATCAAACGTGCTTGCACGATATACAAACGTTCTTTCACCGTTAAAGTCTCTAATCTAAGTGGAAATCAGTTGATTGTTCTGTAGAATTGAGTACTTGGTAGGGGGGGGGGGGTTATATCATGATCTTTTTTTACTTGGATTATAAATTTTAGTTTAGTTAATATATCCTTTTTGACGAAAACTTTAATTGCGCATACATATATATATACACATAATTTTTTTTTTTTAAGTTTTTATATTAGAGACATCAATTGTATATCCTTTTTATTTTTTATCATTATCACCCTCAATTGAATATGAGGGTTGAAATGTAAAAAAAATAAAAATAAAATGCTATACAACCATTTCTTTTCCATTGCTGCTCCGATTTTTATTTTTGGTTAGAGTTTTATATTTTATAATCCAAATTAAAATGAATTGCTACACACTAGTCTTTAAATAAAAGGAATGGCACTCATCATTAGGAAGCCTTTATCATTCCAACAGTTAATTTTTATCCATTTATTTTCTTTTACTATGTAAATTTTTTTTTGAACAACTTACGATTTGAGGAGGGGAATATTTTCCAAAACGTTAGTGGAAATCAAAATCTCAATTAAAGACTCGAAAACAAACCACTAAACTCGAGGGTCTGATTTTACCATATAAATTTTTTAAACTACATAGAAGTTAAAAATTTTATCCCTAAAAAGTAACTTCAATATAGAAGTGCATTTTCCATGAAAA